ATGTTATGTGCTACATGTGGAGTTAAGGAAATTAGTAGACCTGTGTTAATACTCCTTATGCGAGGCTTGACTTCTGCAAAAGACACTGAATTGGTTAGATGCTTTAAAAAAATCAATTGCCCATTTTATAGTTTAACATGAGATAAACAACCTGCACTGGCATTTTTATTCTGCTTCCCGCCCTTCTTATTTTTTGGGGGTGCGCTCCCACGTTTTTTATGAGCTGCACTTGCTGCAAAGAAAAGAAATTTGTCAGGTGAATATAAAAATTTCATTGTAGCAACTCCATTTACAGCGAAGCAATATCACCTTCTGCAGTAGGTTTAACCTTGGTGGATTCTCCTTGTCCAGTAAAGCTCACAGAAACATGCTCTGAATGTACAAGTAAAGTTGAATTAGCATTTAGGACTTCAAAGTTCAACTTTTTCCAGATTTTTACCGAAGCGGAAATTCTGCATAGGTAGGTTGCATTAAATATGATAATGTGTTTAGGAGTAAGATTTTAAAACTACATAATATTCTTGTATGCCTTCCTTAGTAGAAGTTTTCTAAGGAGAGCATCATACTCTCCAAGTCTCCAATGTGAGAGCATCATTGACTATGTAGCACAATTGGATTCCCTTCTCCAATGCGAGGACACATTCTTGAGGAAGGAAATCCAAAGGTCTCAAAGGAGGTGCTCTGAAATTTTGTTCCTTGCACGATCCTGGAAATTTAATCCTAATAACTCATAATGCATTCAAAGAATCATCCAAATGAAGATGTAAAAATCGAATTTTAAACGTAGGGATGCACAACGAGGGAGACTTTGAAGGAAGGTTGAGTACTTAGAGTGATCTTAGGAATGTCTTCTTTAGTCGCGTAGGATCCGAAATCGTCTTGTAGAAGGAAGCCGTAAACCTTCCCAAGTCGCCGCCGCGGGATCTTCTTCTCGAGATGGCTCCCATCTGACGCTGCAGCGAATCGAGGAGGATATACGCTGAAGGCGCGTGTGCCGGACCTGCACACGTTTAGTGCCGGAGCGGAAGGTGAAACCCCCCTGAGAAAAGTGCGCGCTGTTCCTGAAATCAATCTTGCAGTGTTTCTGATTGCTGACATTTCTGGTTCGAGATTTTGGCTTCGAAACCTTGAAGAAGCTGAATAAGCCTGCTTGGAAATTGGGTAGGGGATGACCTGTGTCACCAGGTACTCACTCGTCTTCAGCTATAAGACATGGAAGCAGAGGATTTCGAAGCCAGAAAATGTCCCACACCTAAACTTAAAAGAGGCTTTAAGTTTATAAAACTGCTTCAAAGCTTCTTGATTGTCTTGGCTATTAGGGTAGAATCAGAATCAGTTATAAAAAGTTGGTTACCCCAACTTCTAAAAAACTGATTCTGGGAGTAAATTATAGCACCAGAATCATTTCTGCTCTTTCACTCAAACACTCCAGCTTCTGGGAAGGAGCAGAAGCAATTTTAACAATCAGATCCAAACACCCCTTAGTTGTATTTGGCCTCCTATCAGCCTATGTCCATAATAATTAAGTATTTCAATATGTATTGTCACTCTTCATATATTTTCTCAAATCTTATGATTTAGGAAGATATAAAGAAGAGTGATAATATTAAAATGATGGAGTGTTTTTTTTCAATAATATTTTTTTCATTTGAGACAATTGTCTTATACTACCTCTGTCCCCCTTTTATTGTCTCTTTACGGTTTACGATGTTTGACCGACGATAAAGCAAATGGACCCCATTTGGGGGAAAAATTGGTCCTTGTCCGCACTCAAATTATTTTTTGGGAAAAAAAATTACATATTCAAAAATTACATTAAAAGCTTTACAAAGTCGCAAAAAACTGAATCAAATTTGATAAATTTTTTATATATAAAGTAAGAAATTAAGAGTGATTTGTGTTGACCAAGTAAATAGGAATTGGGACAATATAAAGAGGACGGAGGGAGTAGTATTTTCTCCTATCGATACATATTGTCATAAATGATAATTATTGAATGTAACTGAACAGTGTTGTTCCTGTCTAGCCGGCCTGACGGGAACCATTGTCCAGCCAAGGCCATTTCGGTTCCTTTCCGATCGAATTTTTTGATGAAATATTTTGCGCATGTTCTTCATCAAATCTAGTTAAGTCATACCAAATTTTAGCTAAAAAAATCATTCGGGAAGGCAGTCAAATAAATTATATAAGAATATTGCGCTGTTAATATATATAAACAGCGTCGTATTTTTAAAAAAATCATTTGATTGCCTTTCTGATCGAATTTTTAGCTGATATTTGGTATGGGTAATCTAGACTTGATGAAGAACATGCTAAAAAAATTCATAAAACAATTCCACCAGGAAAGGGCCCCAAACGGGCTCGGACGGACAGTGTTCCCGTTAGGCCGGCTGGACATGAAGATTAGTTTGTAACTGAATATTGAAATGTTGAAACTAAAATATTAGTTGAATGAAGTAGACTCGTTTGGCAAAAAGAGTTGAAAATATTTGGGTAAATGAAATTATTGGATGGAACTGAATCTTGAAGTGCTTAAACTGAAATATTAGTTTAATGAAGTAGGTTTGTTTGGCAAAAAGAATTGAAATTATGTTCAAAGGTCTCAAAGAAGGTGTAGTTGAGCGTAAACATAAACATCTTCTTGAATTAAATAGAACAATGTTAATTGAATTATCCATTCCTCCTAGTTTTTGGATTAATGCTCTTTATACCGCCACATTTATTGTTAACCGCTTACCTACACCAATTTTGGGTGGTATTACTTCATATGAAAAACTTTTTAATAAAATTCCAATTATAGTTTTGACGTGTTTTTGGTTGTGCTTATTTTTCTAATTCTATTGCCGCTTCATCAAACAAGCTCTCACGGTGCTCCAAACTCTTTGTTTTTATTGGCTATGTTCTGGTGTATAAAGGATATCATTGTCTTGACCCTTCCTTTAGTCGTGTTAATGTTTGTCGTGGTGTCCATTTTTATGAAACGAATTTTCCATATCCTCATCTTATTTCGATTAGAACTCTTCCCAACAGCACCTTATCGTTAGAACCTTGGTCATTGTCCTATACTTTTTCGACGCATAGCATCATTGCTTCCATTGCATCTATAAGTCTGCAGCCTCCTTCTATACCCATACTACCATCCTCACCGACCTCATTGTTGGTTCCATCTTCCATATACCCGGACTCACCCCAGGCGACACCGCCTTCTTGCCTCACGGCTACAGCCCATACTCCACCGGCCTTAGATCACCCGTAAATACTCCACCAGCCTAACTCATCACTTCCTACAGTCCCACAGCTTCTGTCAGTAGTACTCTACCAAACTCAATCGACATTCCCTCCGATCCGGATGACACATCCTAGTCATCGTTGGACACCTCTCCCACACCCTTGATCGTTAATAACCACCCTACACGAACCTGAGCTAAAGATGGAATTTTTAAATCCAAACCCATTTTTAATTTAAGTGTTTTTTCTTCCTCAGATGATCGTACTTGTTTTTCACAAGCTAACAAAAATGTTATTTGGCGGGCTGCCATGACTGTTGAATTTCATGTTTTACTTGCTAATAAGACTTAAGATTTGGTACCATGGGATTACACTAAAAATGTGATGGGTTGTGAGTGGAATTATAAGACTAAATATTTTTCTGATGGGTCTATTGAGAGCCACAAAGCCCGTTGGTTTGCTCAGGAATTTAAACATGTTGGGATTAATTTTAGATAAACTTATAGTCTTGTTAATCCTACCATTGTTCGTCTTGTTCTCTGTTGCGGTTTTGTGGTCAATTCGCAGTGAGCTGTTACAAATGATTTTTATATGGTAATTTAACTGAGGAAGTTTACATGCGCCAGCCTCCAAACTTTGTTCATCCTTCTTGTCCTAACCATGTTTATCATCTTAGAAAAACATGATATGATCTTACCAAGGAAGCAAGACCAAACAAGTATTTAGAGGCAAAGTGGAATCCAATTTTATTCAAATCTTGTAGAACGACTACAACACTTCTGCAGAGCGGCACTTCGACCCTCTAGACTAAGCTGAAAGCTATTGAGAAACTAGAGAGAGATCTAATACTTGATAATACAAAGTTGCCAACACTACAAATAAGTATGTGAAGGGGTGACGTGACTGCCCTTGTATGGATGGACCTCCGACCATAAATCTTTTATATTTGATGTATTAAATGTGTTTCCCGCCAATTCTGATGCTTCTTGCCAATTGATTGGGGGAGTTCTGACTTGGGCGGCTCTGGATTGGAAAGAGTAATACAAGTGAGGGGAACATGTCGTACGGCAATGCCCGTGCGGGACCGCTGAACACCTTTTCTGAAGTGGCTACCTTTGTTACTGGCCTGCATGTGTCTTGGGCCCGCTGGGATATTTGGGCATGTATTGGCTCAGGGCCTAATATCCAGACTGCTTAGATTTGTTAAACGACTACTTCCATTTTTTCATTTGTTTTGTTAAATACACTAACATGAAATATTTTTATGGATTCAAATATTCCCTATATTTTATTTTATTTATACATTACATGCACACGGATATTATAACAAATTACCAATGTGTTATAGTATAATCAAACATAAGGCATTCTAAGAACAATGGAGATGGCATACTATAACTGGTTTTGGCAGTTAAGCTGTGTCACAATCAGTATCGTGTTGCCAATAGCACTACAAGCATCTATTGGCTAGAACTCCCACAGTTTCTATTGGCTTGAAACACCACCTGGCCGAACAACAACAGTCTCTGGCCGGGCCAACGGGCCGGGCCGGTTCCAAACAGTGCCGGGCCGGGCCACGGGCCGGTCGGCCCGGAACCGGTCCATCACTACCCTTTAAGGATATTCCGGGTAATTCTAAATTACTAAATACAAACCGTTTTTTGTTAAACACAGCCCAAAATTAACTGATTTTCCAAACGTACCCTTAAAACTTCTTGAAAACAATTGAAGGTCTGAAAAGCAGAGAATTTTATATCCGAAAGACCGTCATCTTCATTTATGAAGTCGTCCATTTACTCCAAACTACCAATTACATTGATGCATTCATCGTGAAGATGTCTTCTGGGAGCGGTGGAGCGCCGCCGACGCCGTCAAAGGAACCCGAACTTGGCATCGCTGCCGCCATGGCTAGGTGAAATTTCATGGCGGCATCTTCATCAGGGTCAGATTTTAAGAGAGCCCGGGAAGCTGTGGAGGAAGAGGATGCGGTGGAGGAAGAAGCCAGTTTTGGGTGTCCGGCGGCAGGGATGGAGAATGTATGGAGGAAGAAGATGATGACAAGCATGGGAAGTAATCAATAGGGTGGAGGAAAATCATGATGATCTATAGAAGTGAGATGGGAATTTTTTTCATCTACACATTGGAGCCAGATCTCCATCGGAAAGATTTTGATTACCGCCTTGGATGCCTTGGATGTATATTACTTAAATTAGCTCTTATTTCCTCTTGAATTGGAAGTCAAATTTCAATTCATAAAACTAAGAGAAATAGTTGTACGATTATGTTAGCAACCTTGTCGGGCGAGCTGGAGCTGTGTGCGGATAATAAAGGAAGGGGATATGGAACTAATGGAAGCAACTTAGGAGATGATGGAAGTACTCCGTATTACTCTTGAGAATTTAGACAGCCACCAAGCCTAAGGGTAAGTTTGGAAAATTAATTAATTTGGGCTGTGATTAGATAAAAAACGGGGTGTGTTTAGAATTACCCTATTCCAACTCAAGATCTCACCCATTAGGTCTTTTAAGTGAATGGTGTTAGCCATTTAATTTTACCTCTTATCATAGACAAATGTTTGTTTGAAACTCTCGAGTCGTATGAATATAAATTTGCTTCCATTTATGCAGAAATTGGAAGTCCATGAGAAGTTTTGTCGAACTAGGAAGATAACATTTGATTGTGGATAGCAAATATTGATGTCTTTCAACACTCTATACACTACTTGTCCTTGATGTTAGTACAGCATTAATATTATAGCTATTTCAGATAAAAATCACTAAAAAAGCTAGCCATGGAGTTCGTTGATCTTGTCATTCAGCAACGATTCCACTTTTCTTTTCTTTTTCTCGGCTACTAACCTCTTGATGTATCCGATGTACCCATCCACATCGAATTTCCTTTTGCAGCCTGCAAAATTCATGTACCGAATTTTCCCAAAAACTGGCCGCTCTCGCCAACCCTGAATGACAAGGGTTAAATGAATTCCCACAATTTTTTCCCAAGAAAATTCATTGCTTATATATTCTCCAAGCTAAAAAAGCATGAGGTGCTAAACTGCTAATGTGTTATGAATTATGATATGATCTATCATCAATGACTGGTGTTTCTATGCCATGAATTATGTCCGCTATTAAACTCCAATGGCTATTAGTTACTCAAGTTAAGTTAATATATACGGAGTAATAAAAGAACATTCAAGCTTGGGATGTTATATACGGAGTACTAAAAGAACATTCGAGCCTATGTTTTTACTTGGACTTATTTCAATCCCAGGCCAGACTAGATCAGATCATCACACCATACCAAATTTAAACAAACCAGACTTAGACAGACAGACCAGTCTTTGATAGTTGTAAAATACACACGGACCAAAAATCTATTAGACCAGACTTAAACAGACTAGATCATATCAGACCTCACTAGAAAATTTCACTCAAATCAAAAAAATCCTTATTCCAAATGATTCTAGGGTCGGCTAACATCATAAGTCAATATACTGCCTTTTTGTATCATATTGTTATGTCAAGGCACAAGCTTCCAGCAGTTACGAATGATTACTCATACTCCCAAATACTTATTCCAGTGTTGTTTGTTGTTTGGGGAAAAAGACTAAAATTAGCTTTTTGCTTGGCTTGTTTTTCTCTGGTCGGCGAGGGGGTGCTTGTGATTTACAGAAAGAACAACATTGCTCGCATGTAATGGCAGTAAGGTCTGACCTGGTCATGTACGCCACAAATTGACCACATGCAACCGACATAGCCACTTGGATCCCTTCCATCAATTTCATACTGCAGGTACGAATCGAATTTGATTAGGGAAAATGCTAGGAAAGGCAACAATAGAGGTCACTGTTATGTGCCACCCGATTACCTTGTCATTCAAATATATTGCTATTGTTAGAGCTTCTTCTGGCCCACTTGTCCACTCAAGGATCTTTTTAGCCCAATACATCCTGCATACAAAATGGTTGAAACTTGTAAGAGAACAAAATGTATATATGTACTCTAAAAAAAATGTATATATGTAGTCACAAGGAGCAACTATGTGATGGAATAAGATACACAAATATTTCAATAAGATTTTGAGAGAAGTTACTTGCCTCATAAAGCCGTGCATCTTTCCATAGTGAACCATCTCTAACTGAGAAGCATTCCAAAGCTGAATACCAGAAAAAATAGTACGAATCGGATTAGAAACCGCAGTAATGTTACCCTTAACACAATTAAGATCAACAAATGACCAAATGTTCATCATAAAAGATGAGGATTTTCACTAAAAGCTTTTTTTAAGATAACTGAAAGGTTGCTTAAAGCAATATAAACACATGCATACAGCATACTTAAGTATGATATGCATAGCAGTATCTTACTGGGTCTGCAGTCTGTGCCTTCTCCAACTGCTCTCGACTGTAATAATGACACATGGTTAAGACTTAAAAATAACTCAAACTAACTTCCCTGAGTGTTGTACATGAAACAATTTCCTCATAAGTCACATGATCAGAGAGAATAAAAATCAGTTAAGCATTTCAGGACAGAAACAAATTTACTCCCTGGGGAAATAATGAATTACAATGACCTTATTTAGTAAAGTATGGTCCTTGCAAATTTAACAGAAAATAACTTCAATAAAATAAATATTCCAAATATATAGAACAGTACTATGTATTACAACTCACGTGTAAATATGTTCACGCTTATCAGTTGCATGTTCCATCAAGGTTTTACGTGCCCAATCCCAAGCTCCAAGTAATGAGTCGTATTGAGGCTGATAATAGCAGAAGTTATCAGCAAGTTCTCTTCGCACGATCAATTCCTCTAGAAAAGTATCAACTGCCTTCATGAGCAGTATTAACATTGTATAAGTGTCGCTCTTGTACATTCATAATGAACATCAATCAGGGTAATTGGGTAAATGAAGAGTAAAGCATGCATTGCTATGCAGAAGACAGATATGTAGAAAGTTTGGAAGAACAAGGGATTATAAAATGACCACAGATAAAGCATATATATGGAGATCAGACCTTGGAACAACTTTTCTGAAATTTGCGTGCCTCTAGTGAACATCTTTGTGCTGATATCTGTCCAAAATGTAAATAAGGGGATAGACCAGAGAGTGCCTTTGGTTTTAACGGGTTATTCCGATCAGTGGAATAATTCCTCAATCGGTTTGTTAGAAACCCATGTTTACTTCCCATCAGTACGTCCATTGCAGCTTGTTCACCTGGTACACACCATTCAAGTTCAGGAACTTCTGCTCCTTTCCTGTTTCAAACAGTCAGATTTAATACAAAACCCATGAAGCCAGCCACCATAAAGAGCTTATTAACTAGAGTGTCTATCTCACCTGACTACATCTGCAATAAGCTGTTCCCAATTTATCGAATGGATTGGAAGGGCCCATCTTTTGTTGTTCATTGGAGGTCCTATAGTAGGGAATTCAACGAGATATTCTGGGAGAAGCTTGTTTATTTTGGATCTCAAAGTCCTAGCTCCGTACTCCAATTTGCCAGATGCCACCCAAAGGGGCACCACATTGTGCGCATCAACCTCATGAATCGTCACAGAACCATCTACCGCCTCACAGATCCTATCTTTCCAGCTCCTTACTTCTCTTAATGGTGAGAAGTCTGTTACCAAAAGAGATGCGCCGCATTTTCTCATGAAGTCAGGAATTGTGATTATAGCCTCTCCCTGCTCAAGAGTCCAACCAAACACAAGAAAATTGTTAGAATCCCACACTGGAAAAGTTTAAATCAACAAAGCTATATTAAGACATGGGCTACTCCTCCTATAAGGTTGTTCTTTTAGGATGGAACCCCGATCCATGAAAAGTCACGACGATTATAAAAAATCACAATGACAAACCGATCCAAACGAAGTGTCTGGTCGTGAGGAGGGGTATTAGAATCCCACACCGGAAAAGTTTAAATCAACAAAGTGCTATATTAAGACATGAACTACTCCTCCCGTCAGGTTCACCTTTTAGGATTTTTTAGGATGGAATCCCGGGTTAACAAAAATCAATAACAACAATGAGAAATAACATCAATGAGGAGTAACTCAAAGTCTTAGAGAGTGTTTTACGGTTTTATAGCTTTATGTGAGACGAATACTATAACAAAAGCTTGCCTGGAATAGATAAAAAGGGATATCCAGAGTCGATTGGAGATCGTGAGCGAGCTTCTCGAGGCCTCGGAGCATAAACCCTAACTGCCGCGCTTTGGCGCCTAAAAACTGATCGAACAGATTGAACGCAACCACTACAGGGACATTGGCCCTGTTAGCCTGATCAACGGCGTGGATTAATGCCCAGTTGTCTCTCGCCCGTTGATCCCTGAACATCCAGTACACCACCGGACCGGCTACTGCCGGAGGCGGTCCAGCCGCGTGCTTCAGAACCCGGACCCGCCCCGGCTGAACTGCTTGCATCGGAGAAGCCATGCCGAACCTGTGGCTGTGATACCGTAGACCTGGAAGAAATGGGTTGAAGGTTTAAACAAAAAGGTGAGAGCGGGTAACGTCAGCTGTACAGTTGAGAAAACGGATGGGTGGGAAAACAGACAGTTAAACCGCGTGGTATTCAAATGAGACACGTGCAACGTTGTAGTTCACGGAAGCTTTTGTTGTTTAAGGATGTTTTTAATTGTATTCGAATTTTTTTGTCTGATCTGGTCCGATCTGAATTGATCTGATCTGTTTGATAAAAGTCTGATTTTTGTGTATTTTGTAATTATCCAAAACTAGTCTGGTCTCATTTAGTCTGGTCTGAGACTGAAAACAGTTCAAGTAAAAATATCTTAAATAGTCCATTTTTTCATTTATATTCTATTAAGATTGTTTTATATGGAATGTCAAGTTGGTTAAAGTTTGTGTAATTATAAGGATGTTAAACTTTTTAGGTTTCCTCAACTCTTTATTTTTTTTTTACCTCATTGTATATTCATTACATGAAATTAAAACTCAAACTCACACGAATAGCTTAGTTGGTTGAGTGCTGAAAAAATTGAAGAATTGACCAAGATTCGAAATCTGCAGCGACCGAAAAGTTAACTGAATCACTTTGATTTACATCCTTCTATATGCTTTGTCGGGTCTGGGCATGTGGATGCTTGGAGTTGGGGATCCAACCTTTTTGGGTGGACGAATGAAATTAAAACCCATCATGTCATTGTACTTTTTCGATTGTACTTTATTGTCTGTACTCAATTGTTAGTGTATTGTTATTTGCCCTTTGTTTGTTCCAAAAAAGGTGGAATCTCCCACCTCATGAGCTCCCACACCCCGACCCGACAGAACGGTGGAGAAGTAAGTTACGGTGACTCAGTCGATCCAATAGTGGTAGACTTTATACTTGTGCGCACCAGAGGTCCAAGCCAATACGCAGGAGCTGTAACCTCCACACGGTCGCTGCGGGTTTCGATCCTTAGTCATTATTCCAAATTTCTCATCACTGGATTAACTGAGCTATCCTTTGTTTGTTTCAATGAAAGGTATGTTTTTCCGGTCAAATCCAACATTTCCCTATACTTTTTGTTGTGCCAGTCAACTATGGGAAAGGCCGAAAGGGAGGAGAGGATGTGTTCAAATAAGAGAAAATAATAAAAATATCACAAGTGAAATTCTCTGATCGGTTATGTGATACTCCCTCCGTCCCATTTTGGTTGTCCTACTTTCCTTTTTGGGTTGTTCCAAAATGAATGTCTTGTTTCCTTTTTGGCAAGAAATATGAGATCCTTATCATTTCACTTTATTCTACTCAAATCTCAAACACAACTTTTATATTTCAATTACTTTATTAATAATCGTGTCAAATTGAAAGTGGACAACCAATATGGGACGGAGGTAGTACTATTCTTGGATGCTATGAGGAGCAATATTTGATAAAACAGACAATGATGATGCTAGAGCGTTCCTAAAGGAAGGCGAGAGTCACGCAAATGATTTTATTTGTTGCATGACATTCACACAAAATGACTCTTATTCGAAAGTGTAGTTTCACACAGACATAGGGGTGGACCGGTTCCGGTTCGGGCCCGGTTCGGGCCTGGGCCCGGCCGGGCCTCGGTTCAGAAAAAGGAGGCCCGAGCCCGAACCGGTGGTGGGCGGTTCCGGTTCCGGTTCCGGGCCAGAACCGGGCCGGGCCGGGTCGGGCCACCCGGAATGTTTTTTTTTTTTTCTTCTTCTTCTCTTATTTAACCCCCTACCCCTCCCCCTCCACCCCAAACCACCTCAAATGGCCCAAAATACCTAATCCAACCCAAAACTTAAAAAAATTTCAAAAAAAAAAAAATTAAATTCCGGCCCGGCCGGGCCGGTTCACTAAACTGGAGGCCCGGGCCCGGACCGGTATACCACCGGGCCTGGAGGCCCGAACCGGAACCGAACCGGTTGACCGGGCCGGTCCGGGCCCGCACAGTAGCGGGCCGGTCCGGTTCCGGGCCGGTTGGCCCGGCCCGAGTCCATCCCTACACAGACACAGAGTGATTGGTAGTAACAATTATATTGTCATTTTAGATAGATAATCATAATGAGACCATGTGATTAATGGCGTTGCTCTATCATGTAATAAGTATTGATAATTAATTTGATAATATGATTGATTAAGTTGGTAATATAATTAACTTATTTTATCTCAAACTATCACCAAATTCACAAATCTATCTTATTCTTTCACTTTTATCAAAAAAAAAACTCAAACTTCATCATTTTCAACAATTATGGTTTTCTTCTTTGTTTTTTTTTTACAAAATTACATATTTTATCAATACCAATAAGATATACTCCCTCTGTCCCGCTATGATTGTCTCATTTTACCTTTTCGAGAAGTCACACTAAGATTGTCTCATACCAAATTTGGTAAAATTTGTGTGGCTCTAAATCATTCTAAGTTTATTTTTACTTTGTCAATTTAATATAAACCACATAAACTCACTTTTATTAATAATCGCGCCACTTTCTCTTGTCCCAATCTTAGTGGGACGGAGGTAGTAAGTGAAAAATGTGAAATTAAATATAAATATGATTTTATTTTTAAGTTTTACTAGTTCATCTGTTAAAAGTGTAATTGTGAGAAAAAATTAAAGTTTGAGTGTTTTTTAATAAAAGTAGAAGTATGGGATAGATTTGTGAATTTGATGGTAGTTTAGAATATATTTAGCTAATGATCCTAAAAAGTATTAACAACTTCATCATACGCATGGTGATTGACAATTATATTACTGTTTTGGATAGATCACCATAATTTGATGATATGATTTATTTTGTGTGTTTGTAAGAAGTAACATGAATTATACAAAGACTGTCATTTCCATATGAAGTAATAAATATGTGATTAACGTCATTTATATCTCTACTTTGCATGCACAAATTTCAATCACATGGTCAATATTTTGCACAAGTTTTCTATAAGATGAAGGAAGTATATTACAAAGGACATATTAGGATAAAGTAGGGGTGTCATCGGTCTGGTCAAGGCCGTATTTATGTTAAATCGAACATTTATCCATAAGATCATGAGTTATGGACTGCCCATGACCCATTACATTGGGTCTAAAGTAGGTTTGGTAGCCCAGGTTTGGTTCTGGTTTAGGTAGGGCCGATTAAAGCATTAACGGAATTACGGAAATCATTACATTGTCCACTCCCACTTATTCTAGACTCATTCTTGTTGAGTTTCACACTGCAATCACGCTTAGTATGTCAACCTTTTGACATCTCCAACAAATCAAATCTTTCGCTTTCTAGTTGGATTTGTCGTGATTTTCATACTCGCGCTTCTTGACTCTCCCCTGATTGTTTGAGTTAGATTTTGTATCCCCAACGAAGTGAACACGAGGCTGCCCAAATTCAACTTCACACTTAAATTTGACATTCTCTTGCACACGAAGGGACTCCTCAATGAGCAAGTGACTCTCAAGTTGAACCAATGACAATATATTCCTAATTTTGATGTTTTAATTAAAGTACGTTTAAAATCCTTCCAAGAGAGTGGAAGCTTGATAATTATACTTGACACGACATATGATTCATCAATGCCTATCTTGTTGACCGTAAATTGACCAAGAACACGAAAGAGTTCATTCTATTGTTCCATAACCGACCTTGAGTCAACCATTTAATCATCATTAAAATCACTCACTAGGAACTTCCTACTAGAAACATATTTGACAATGTATTTTGACCCAAGAGAATTCAACAATTCCTTCACACTGTTAATGTTTTGATAAATATCAAATAACGCATCGAACATATATCGTTAAGAATGTGTCCTTTACAAATGTAGTCATCATTTTCCCACTTGTTACACCTCATAGTTTGATCCAAAGTTTCATCTTCCGTTACTTTTGATTCCAGAGTGTTCAACATGTACACAATCTTCAAAAACGTGAAAAGGACGTGCATCTTCTTCTATCATATACGAAAATCATTCTATTGAAACTTCTCCATTTTGCTGAATTTGGATGTCATCTCTTGCACGATACTTGTGATTATCACAAAAAAAAAAAATCAATTCGATTGTTAGGTCGTTGTAATAGGGGACAAGGTTGGTCCAGGAAAAATATTTGAGTCTTTATTTCCTCACACAAGGGGAAATATAACATAAATGATAATGGTAATAATAATCAATTACTGTGAATTTCTATCAAAATTCGAGTTAATATTGAACACAATAGCAAAAACAAATGCATTCAATAATAAAATACATTTCATGAAAAAAGTGACATTAGATTTCACCAAAGTAATAAGTAATAACATATTTTTACATTTACACCAAATTATTAAATATAAATAGTTTAATTAATTCATCATACAATTACACAAAAAAAAACAACAACCTCAATACCTAATTTGTTAAATTTCATATGGAGTAATAGATTAGAAGGTTTAAGGCATAAATAATAAAGAATCTACTATTTTTCTAATAATCCAAGCATATAAGAAAATCAATTAAAATAGTCGAATAGATTATTAGATAGATTAACTTACCTGCAGTGGGACTTGTCGGACTTGGCGTGCAGACTGCTGACTGCTGAGCCGGCGGACCGACGGAGGTGCAATGCTGAACCGCCTGGACTGCTGGTGTGCTGCGGTGGCGTCCCTAAAGGCATAGACGGAGGTCACAGAGGACGGAGGTGGCCTTGGTCGATTACTGCAGTGAGCCTGTGACTGCTGCGGCATGCAGAATGGCCGAATGGGTGTCTGGCCTAGCCCTCGACGCAAGCTACGTTCCTTCCTTTGGTTGAATCAATGCTCACTTCTATTCTGGACACAGGTGTTCTCCGGATTGACTCTTTATTTTGGACTTGGGCTGGTGACTACTCCCTAATACTAGTACTCTTTTTTCGGCCCTCTCTTTTTGAGGCCATGTGCAATGGGACTGATTCTCCTTCCCCGGAGCTGGCCCTGATAAGGGGTAATAATCTAGTACCTGGATTGGTTGAGGGCATTGTAAGTTCACATTGCAAATTAATATTAATCTCCAATGCCTGAGTTACAAAAGAAAGTGTCACGATTATTCTCAAATGGGTCTAAACTGCATGCAAGAGTTCAAATGCATATGTATTTTCATAATTCATACAAAAGAATGAGAGGAGGTAAACCATATATCTTCATCACTTTGACATTCAAATCAAAAGATAATAATGATATACTCACTAATTTGTGCTCTTGGATTTGTGTCTAGACCGTTGAGTGTTCTTAAGAATAATTCCCGATTGAATTTCTTGTAACCTAGACGTGGGAGAGAAATATCCATTGGAAAAGTCAATCCTCTATTACTACATCCGTCCTCTTAACTTTGTCCCGATTTGCATTTTTCGTCCGTCTCATTAAGGGTTGTTTTGCAACTACTTTTAAAAAAGCACTTCTCAGCTTTTGGCTTTAAAAAACACTTATTTTCCCAAACACTACAACTTTTATTTTTCTCGGCTTCCGCGTCAAAAGTGCTTTTACTTTTTCTATTACACGAAAAACACTTATTTTACCAAACACTACCCACTTTTTCCTCAAACATTATCAACTTTTATTTAAGGAGTGTTTGCAGTTGATTAAAAAAAGCATTTTTCAGCTTTTGGCTTAAAAAAAAGTTAAAAAGAGTGTTTTCAAATGACAGCTTCTGCTTAAATTAATCACTTAAAAGCTAAAAGCTGGAAGCAGGTGGAAGGGTGCTTTAAACTGCTTTTCACTTTTTCTATTACACAAAAAGTACTTATTTTACCAAACACTACCAACTTTTTATTTTTTCAGAATCACTTTTTTCTCAAACACTACCAACTTTTACTATTAATCACTTTTCCCCAAATCACTTTAAAAAATCACTTTTTTAAAGTTGAAGCAATTGCAAACACTCCCTTAATCACTTCTCCACATTTCATTAAAAAAACACTTTTTTAAAAGCAGAAGCTGTTGCAAACAGACCCTAAGTTTGTTCAGTACCATATTTGATAATATTTGAATAGTTACAATTCATTCTTACTTTATAAACACTTTGTCAATTCAATACCCATTACAAAATCATATTTTTCATAAAAGTTGTGTCAAACATACATAAGGAGTGTTTGGGTTTCCTTTAAAAAAGCGCTTTTCAGCTTTTGGCTTAAAAAAGTTGAAAAGAGTGTTTTCAAATGACAGCTTCTGCTTAAATTAATCACTTAAAAGCTAAAAGCTGGAAGCAGGTAGAAATGTGCTTTAAACTGCTTCTCACTTTTTCTATTACACAAAAAAGTACTTATTTTACCAAACACTACCAACTTTTACTTTTCAGAATCACTTTTTTCTCAAACACTACCAACTTTTACTTTTTCAGAATCACTTTTCCTAAAATCACTTAAAAAATTACTCCGTACTTTTTTAAAGTTGAAGCAATTGCAAACACTCTCAGGACTCAACGTACGTAGTGACCGAGGTAGTATCACTATTAAGGCTGGTTTGCAACCACTTTAAAAAAAGTACTTTTCAGCTTTTGGCTTAAAAAAGCACTTATTTACCAAACACTACCAATTTTTTATTTTTCTCGGCTTTCGTGTCAAAAGTGCTTTTCCACTTTTTATACACCAAAAGCACTTATTTTACCAAACACTACCAACTTTTACTTTTCAAAATCACTTTTTTCTCAAACACTATCAACTTTTACAAATAATCACTTTTTCCAAATCACTCCAAAAGTGCTTTTTTTTTAAAGCAGAAGCTGTTGCAAACACTCCCTTAGGAATTTATTACGACTGCCCAACATTTTATGTTCTAATTTCTAAATTGTTCTTGTTCAGGAAAGCAAATAAAAATTCTGGAAGTTTTGAGCTTGTCGCGAGGAGTTCGGTTATCTATCGAGGACACTCGACACTCAAGACTCAAGAGTGAAGAACAAACATAAGCTTTTTGTCGAAAAAAAATCTATGGCCGTCTCTTTCTATCCTGCAATTTCTTCTGGTCTACACACCCGCGCTGGGTTCACGCAGTCATCTTTAAGGTTCTTCTTGGTCATTACTGAAAATACTAGTAAAAGGAAATTATATTTAATGCATTTGTGTCTGTAATCACATATTCTGTTTCTAATTGCAGCTGTGCGAACAATGTTTTCGTTGGTTTAAGAGTTCAAACTCCAAGTATGTGTTCTTTACCTCTTTTCACTATCCAATAAATTGTTGAATCTTGAGCTCCTTATTCTGTGGTTTGTATTTATGACTTGAAATTTTACATTCCGCTCCTTAAGCAGATTTTCCTGGACGGGCGAAAAATACAAATTTTGAATTTCACAACAAGGTGTATAGAAGCGTCATGTCCAGGTAGGTTTTAGCCCCTCAGGTTGCCAGATCTTCATTCAAATGCCAAAAATGTACTACGTATTTAAGTAATAGGCTTAGGTATTTCAATTTTGAAGAACAACAAAGTCTTCTATTCTCCTAATTGATATTATAAGTTGGAGTTGGACAGCGAAATTAACCTACCATTCTTTGATCAGTATTGCTCGTTGGGGATTTTTTAATGTTGTGTCTGCTCCTCAGGCTTTTAATTTCAGGTCAATGTCATTGTTGTAACCATTCGGTATGTCAAAACCCTTAGTTATACCCCTCAAATTTTCAGCACTTAACTTTACTGCTTTCCTAAGTTTCATTATCCTGTTTTGTGACTGATCATATATTTGGGTTATCGAAAATTGAATTTGTGTTCCTTTGCTTGAAGTTTGCTACCAGTGATATACTGATATGGGTGATTCATTTTTCCATTGTGTGAAATCAGAGCTGGTTGGTATTGGGTTTAGTTTTTTAATAATGTGTTCGTTCCTTAAGAGCTTTCAAACCTTCCAAAACAGTCAAGTTGATAATTTGCATGCCTATTAGACAAGGAAAAAATGTGTGAGAGCTGTGTTCGGAAGGGCTTTGACTACTTTACCACTATGGATTTGTCTGAAGAAATATAGCTATAATTTACGTAGTATTAACTATTACACGAATACTAAGGTGTGTGACATGCATTATTTGAATTATACCCCCTTCCGCTCAAATGTGTGTGTTATATGCTCCAAGGTTGCTATAAACGCAATCAAGTCCACGAAAGAACTAACACGATTTTATGAACCTCCAGCTTGCTATATGCATAATTTTGCCCGTACTTTATTTTGGCAAAGTTACACGTACAAGGTACTCTTGGGGTACATTCACACAGGGTCTTGAAAGTGAATTTGGGACCCTAGCCAGTTGGCCTTTGCCTCAACATAAAGTGGGGGGTTAAGCCTCAAATCAATATAAATAAAGTGATAGAAAAGTACGGAGTAGTTTAAATTAGATGGTACATAATAACAGCTATAAAACTGGATTTGTTTCTGGGGACTCAAAAGTTTTGTAATAAATAAGTGGATAAAATATGCAATTATGCATGTCAACCCACAATAAATCTAAGAATATGTATGAACTGATTCCAAATTAAAATTCCCTATCGTGTCAAACCTTCCCTTATTGTAATGGAACATTTAACTATCTCATGAGTAGGATAGACCTAATCCAATGGTATTGACTAGAGGATTGATATGTGCCCGGGTTTGGGATCGCGTCACGGGACCGGAATAGGAGGAGACAGAAGGTTGCTTGGAGGTCTGATTGACAGTGTTGCTTGCTGGCATATATATGCTGCAGCCTGCATGTAGTTTGAATATCGTGTGGAATGGTGGAAGAAGAAGATGAGAATTTTTGTTGAGAATTCTCCAACTCCCTGATTCTAACTATTGACAAACTTTTCTGATATCTCTATTGAAAATAAACCTTCTCTTAAATAGAGAAAGGTTGGTTACAGATTATAACTCCCATAACTTTAACTGCCCACTAAATGCCTAGTGCCCTGCTAGTTGCCTTAGGAGTAACTATCCACTACGACATTAACCAACATCAATTACTGCAGACATATATATGAATAATAATAGTAGTAATAATACTAATAATAATAAAATAATAATAATAATATTGTGCCTCCAGAATATGTATGAACTGATTCCAAATTAAAATTCCCTATCATGTCAAACCTTCCCTTATTGTAATGGAACACTTAACTATCTCATGAGTAGGATAGACCTAATCCAATGGTATTGACTAGAGGATCCTCTTTACGAAAGTACCCCATATGACTTTGGTCCATGATACATGTTAGGACACCCCTCTAGACTTTTACCTCTATCCGGAACCATCAATATACGTAGTATGTCCCTCCCTCCCTCTCATTTTAAATAGGTTGTGTATAAAGATGGCATTTCACTGAAATCATAGTTGTTTCTCCAAATTACCAATTGCAGAGCTTGTAAAAGTAAACCGACTCGTGGACAACTTTCCATGATGCCTGTAGGAACACCACAAGTGCTTTACCGAAACCCAGTGGAAGGGTCTTGGCAATGGGTTGACTTGTGGAATGCTCTTGTAAGTTGCACCATGCATGTTTTATCTTTTGACATTCAACTATGTATGCTTGCTACTGATTCTAAAAAAGGGCAGCCTGGTGCACATTGGCGCCCCGGAAAGGTGAGGGACCTGGGAAAGGTCCCACCATCACAAGGGTATACAGGGGCAAACCTCCCCTTCTCATTTTGACAAGAGGTCACTCTCAAGACTTGAACCCGTGACCACTTGGTCACACAGCAACACCGTAACTGGGTGCCAAGACTCTCCCTTGCCTTGCTACTGATTCTAATAATTCGTTGGTTGTCTTGTAGTCATCTGAGTAGTCATGACTCATGAAATAAGTCCCTTTTTCTTTAAATATCATCTGGATCGGTTGATAAAAGATAACTCTTCAGCCATAAATATAAACTGCTGTGAAAGATTATTGAGCAGCCATAGCGTATCGCCGTGATTTTATCAACTTTTCTCTGCTACAATGATCTGTGTATTTAAATTTAATAAATTGTATGCGCTTCTTTGAAATGAAGTAGCAGTCAATCGATGTAATTTTCGACGTGATTTTCACTATGGGTCATTCAGAAACAGTCTCTCCGTGCTTTCGTATTGGGGTAAGACTGCTTACATCCGACCCCCCCTACCCCACAGTTGGTGGGAGCCTTTGCGGCACTGGGGTAATGATGATGATGAATTGTTAGGGACCTAAATAGAATAATAAGAATTAAGAAATAAGAAGAGTATTAGAATTAGTATACATAGAGGTTGAGGGTAGAATAGAAAGGAGGTTGGAATTATCAATTGGGCTTGGGACTTGGAGAGTGGGCACTTTTAAACTGCCTTTGTATTTCTCTCTCTATACTTTCTGTTATACGACACTTTCAGTTCATACACATCTCTTTTCTTCATCTTGTTTCTTGAATTCACCGTGAATTAACTAGATACCTAACATGAATACGCTGTGATTATTTGTAGCCTGATTGCTTATATGTTTCTGGTTGCAGTACCGCGAACGTATTATTTTCATTGGTCAAGAGATTGATGAAGAATTCAGCAACCAGCTACTGGCTACAATGCTTTATCTTGAAAGTGTTGATGATTCTAAGAAATTGTATCTCTACATCAATGGCCCTGGTGGTGATGTGAGTTTTTTGAAATGCCATTTTGTTCCTTTGTTGGGCTTCTTCTCATTATATGATCGAGCGTACCTTACAGCTTACACCATGCATGGCCATATATGACACAATGCAAACTTTAAGAAACCCGGTTTGTACACACTGTGTGGGACTTGCCTACCATCTTGCTGGGTTTCTTTTGGCAGCTGGGGATAAGGTAGTATTCCTTTTCATATATAAGTTTCTGGTGTTGAACTTGTGAGTTGTGCACTACTTGTTTCATTGTTTTAGGGCTTAGTATTGCCAAAACATCCAAATCGAGATGTAAAATATTTAATTGCATCCCGTTTTTTTTTAATTTTGAGTAGAAGCAGATAGCAGTTTAATCCAACAATATTATGTTTGTCGCACTTGAGTCTTTAAGTCCTTCCTTAAACAAAGGGTTCTTGGCTTTAAGTCTCCAAATCTTCCTCTTCTTTTTCTCATGGTTGGATCTGAGGCCAAAAATATTACTAGTATATGGGATTGGCAGCTTTAATTTAATTGTAAGATAGTAATTTATACTTTATCGTAATTTAGGTTGTGAATCTGGAAGTGACAATTACATTACACTTCAGATATTACAAGTAAAAAAAACTTTTTTCTTAGCTGGATCTTTTTGTTTAGTTAATAGTTATCTTCATACATGATATAATATTCAACAAAAAAAATACTTAGTTAATGCTGGAAAGTATTTAAATGTAAGAAACCCTACCTTAGTATAGTTTTAACCCACCAGAAGGTCTGTCCTTGGTCCTTACTTCTAGAAAAGGATGTGTGTTATTCTCCCATTTTATCAGATCTATTCTATTAAATTTCTAATATATTCAATATATTTTGTTTACTTTCTCATATCTACTTCTGATATCCCAACAATATCTCAACATTCAGCAGTTAGCTGGATCTGAAGATCTAAGTAGCTTATGACTTTGTTTTACATCATGCAGGGTAAGCGGTCTGCAATGCCTCTTTCAAGAATTGCATTATCGTCTCCGGCTGGTGCTGCTCGTGGTCAGGTTTGATTTACATTCATTTGTCAGAACACACATTGCGAATTTTTCCATTCCCATTTACAATGTGCTAAATTCTCTTTAGGCTGATGACATACGCAATGAAGCAAATGAACTTCTCAGGATTAGAGATTACCTATTTGAGGAGTTGGCTGCTAAGACAGGCCATCCTGTTGAAAAGGTACCATCTCTTAATTGTCTTCACTAACTTTAAGCAGTATCTCTTAGCAGATGGCTGTAGTATATATCTTGTTGGTTTTAGATTGAATAAGTGTGAGCTGCAAATAAGCTCTTCGATCCTTGAAACCTGATTTCTACAACTCTCGAAATATTACCATCAACCTTAGAAGCCATGTTATAATTAGCTCTGTCATATCGACAATTTTATCCACTCAATGCTTTATTATGTATTGTCAATTAGAGCGGTCAAGTATGACTTTGAAGAGAATGAAGTGAGTGGAGAGCATATACGTGGAGGATTGATCTGATTTCGTATGTTGACTCATGTTATTAGAGGCAGTATATATTATTAGAAGTCAGATATACATGATTATCTGACCTTTAACGTAGTTATGTTATGCTGTGTCTACTGTAATTCCGCAGATCCGTAAGGACTTGAGCCGGCTGAAGCGTTTCGATGCCTCACAAGCTCTTGAATATGGTCTTATAGACCATATAGTTAGGCCTTCAAGTTTGGAGGATGATGGCGGCAGGAAGGACTCAACAGTGGGTCTTGGTTAGTTTGTATGTAGTGGCTCAACGGGACTACATTAATGATTTTAGTATATCATATTTGGCTTGAAGTGGGCAAAGATTATCTGTTGATTGATACGTGTCCTGATTGTGCTGTGAATATTCATCAATCCAAGGCTTCTGAAAAACATCAGATCGCCTTTTTATCAGCCGATCTTTGCAAATATTTTTCTCGCTACGTTCTATTAATACATTTAAGCATACTCATAGCTTTTATTAATGCAAGTAACTGTTATACTGTAAAAAAGCTAATACTTCATTCGTCCCATTTCAAAGTTCTTTGTGAGATCAACTGATCACGATTTGTGTGATTACCATTGATTTACTTATAATAACTCTTACCTCTAATAATATATCTTGCCTTGATCTCATAAAATTTGGTCAAAGTTGTCTTACAAGTGAAATAATAAAGTAAAAATTGTGTGGTTGAAATTTATATAGAAAAAAGAGAAATATAACATATTTCATACTTTAAATAGAATCGACAAACTCTTTTGGGGGGAGTTGGGCTGTTGGGGTGAAGGAAGTATTGGTAATAATAATACATCGTAATTAAAACTTACTTGCTCAATAGTACTCCAAAGATTCTATTGAATAACAACAAATGAGTAGGAATTTGACAAAAATATAATGTAGAACACATTAAAATTAAATATTAAAGGAGCATTTTGATTACTCTCTTAGATACTAGATATGGAGGCCTTCCACCTGATCTTACTCTCTTAGACATTTGCTATCCGTTCGGATATTCACTATGCAATGTTGTCATCACAATCAATATGATTTCTAAAAGATATCTCATTTTAAACAGCAGTGATATGGTGCTAAGTGTCGATCTTATATTTTGGCACAAAGAAATGTCTTGTTTCTGTGAAACTTTTGCTCCATTAACGAACAACAAAACACAAAAGATACTTTTTCATTTTAATCATGCATTCTAACACTTGTAATTTAAAACACATCAATCATGGATTATATGCAAATTGATACGTCAAATTTTCGCCAGTATCCAAGTATCCAACCCCAATCGTACAAGCCAACAATGTGTTTTATGAGCATATGGTCAAAAGCATACTTTTTGGAAGCATTTCCGAGGAAGACATTAAATGTCAAATATATCTTGCATATAATTACAATTGACATTACTTTAATTGATCATTGAGTTATGTACACTTTAATATATTGTTCAACTATAACTAAAACACATTCATCAGGGATCATATGCAAATTACCACACCAACATCCAACCCCTATCATACAACTCCACCAATGTCTTTACCATTTTTATAATCATATGGTCAAAATTATACTTTTTGGGAGCATGCCCTAGAAAGACAACAAATGCCAAATATGTATCATTTTTTACATTGCTTTGATTGACCTTGAGTTATTTACACATGAATATAGTGTTTGACTATAGGTAAATGCATTTATTTATTTATTTATTTATTTATTTATTTATTTATTTATTTATTTATTTATTTATTTATTTATTTATTTATTTATTTATTTATTTATTTATTTATTTATTTATTTATTTATTTATTTATTTATTTATTTATTTATTTATTTATTTATTTATTTATTTATTTATTTATTTATTTATTTATTTATTTATTTATTTATTTATTTATTTATTTATTTATTTATTTATTTATTTATTTATTTATTTATTTATTTATTTATTTATTTATTAGACTAACATTTGAATTATGTGAAGTCTCACTCTATATTCACATAAAAAAAAATACAACTCAACAATGAATAATTTTACAAAATGTTTGTCATCATTGTTGGCCAATTTGACTTATTTTAGATGTTTGATGACTCAAATCAGCCAATGTTTTATGTTTGGTGAATGCCTTTTATATTAAATTGTTCAGTCCAAAAGGCCAAAATTGATTAGTTGAATACACCAAGGATACAACCTTTTCATGGCGTTTGTTCAACAATTTCAACTTACTCTCAATTTACATCATGCTATATCATTACAAACTTACAATGGGCTGTCTTTGTCTTCCATGTATTATACAATTCACAATTATGATGTGGATGTTGCTTAGGATGTTTTTACTTGGACTGTAATCTATACTAGATCAGACCAAACTTGGCTAGTTATTATAAAAATACAAATAAACCAGAACAAACCATCAAATTATAATTCAAAGGAAAAAGGGTCAAATACACCCATATACTATATTCAAAACATCACTTGAACCCTTGTACTAAAAAAAGGATCAACTAAATACACTTACTATTAAAAAACATCAATTTGATCAAGTTACCGGATTGCTACTCCATAGCCGGTCATTGGATCGGATGATTTGACACATGCTTTTACCTTTTCGTTTTTTTCCATCTTATACGGAGTACAATACTTCATACGCCATAGTCTGTATGTACACAGTTCCAAGGCTAGCTCTTTCTCTTTCTTCATTTTTGTTCCTTCCTTTTCCTTTTCTTTTTTTTATGTCTTCCGAATGTATGGAAATGGAGTACAAATTTCTCTTCCCATTTTACTTCACTTCTCTTTTTTTAATCTAAGAAATCTTAGGACATTTAAAATTGTTTTTGTATTTTTATGACATTTCATTTTTTAATGATGTTTCATTAATACATGTTTCCTCCATATTCTTTTGTTTGCTACATTTTCTTTTACGAAAATTACTTTTTTGTTCGCTACACTTTCCTTATTTGATAAATTTTTATTTATAAAACTTATTAAATTATTCTTACCTTTTCTATCTTCCATATTATCTTTCATATTATTCCACCATTTACCCTGCTTCTTATATACTATTCATTACCTTTTTATTTTTCCTTAGTAGAAAACAATTGAACACGAATTGCTCTCTCTCTTTACTTTACTTCTCTGATTTAAATCTAAAAAACTTAGAAAGTTAGAGGGAGATCTAAAATTATTTTTCAATTTCAATTTTATGACTTTTCATTAATATATAATCCATCCTCATTCTTTTGTTTGCTACTGTTGGTCCCAGATTTCTGTAGACTAACTCACAGCTAGATGGTATTCATCAATAAACATAGAAGAAGATCTGATAATGATAAGGCAATATCGAGAACAGAAAAATTCTTCTTTCTATTGTATCGAGAAGTATTTTTACAGCATAAGGCTAGAGAATAGAGTGATCGACATTGGTACCTGTACAGAACGCACATATTTATAGGCGCTGTACAGGTTACCTAATTAGGGTGTGTAGGAGTTTGGGCCTAGATCCTTTTTGGGCTTTATTCCTTTACAACCTATTTATTACACTTTATTCAATACCATAAATGGTAAGCTATACTAATAAACAAACAAAACATAACACACAAACTTGATTCACAATAAAATAGTTCTAACAGCTACTCTTTTTTGGGGTCAAGAATAATCTCTATTTACTTAGGATCCAGAATATTTAGTTTGGGACAAATGCCTAATTGTTTTAGAATTTGATATTGTAACATAAAAGATTAATCTATGTACGGAATAAGTAAGTAAAAAAGATATGCAAATATTTAGATACATATTCATTTTTATTGTACATTCATTTTTATATATTCATATATAATTATATACATGTATATATATTTCTATTTCTATACACACACACACATACAGTGTCGAGATGTCAGGATTTTCCCGATCCCGACTTTAAAAAAAATCCCGGTCTACTCGTCCCGACTTAGTCGGGATAGGGAAAACTTCCCGACTAGTCGGGATCGGGATTCGGGAAAAAAAATTCCCAGTCCTAGGAAAAATATTCTTAAGAAGCAATTTATTTGGATGACAATTTGACCTGAAATATTTTTTAAAAAGAGAAGTAGCACTAAGTTCCTTTATTATTGTCAATCCCTGATTGTTTAACTTTAAGTAAATGTGGTCTTCTTGTTAAAATTGGACTAACACTGTTAGGCTATATTTAGCAGGCATAAGTCCCTGCCTTCTAGCATATGTGTATGACATAGGAAAAAAATGTTTACGATAAATATAAGTAAACAAAATCTAGAATTTAAGATTCTAAAGATGTTTATATAAACATATATGTACTTCCTTCGTATTCAATTGGGTTTTACAAAGGAGATAGTTGAAGGAAAAATAAAAAAGGTAATGAATAGTTTAGAATAAACATGATAGATGGGGAAAAATATGAAAGATAATATGAAAGATAGAAAAAGTAAGAATAATTTAATTATTTTTTAAAATAAAAATTTGTCAAAAAAGGAAAGTGTAGCAAACAAAAATAGTAATTTTCGTAACAGAAAGTGTAGCAAACAAAAGAATATGGAGGAAATACGTATTAATGAAACGTCATAAAAAATTAAAAATTAAAAAATGAAGTGTCATAAAAATACAAAAAGAATTTTAGATGTCCTAAGATTTCTTAGATTTTTTTTTTTAAAAAAGGGAAGTGAAGTAAAAGTGGAAGAGAGTTTTGTATTCCATGCAATCGGAAGACAAAAAAGAATTAAAGAAAAGAAAAGAACAAAATGATAGAAAGCTAGCCGGGGAGGTGGGGAACCATGCATGTACGGACTATGGGGTAAAAGTATTGTACTCCGTATAAGACAGGAATGAAAAGCATGTGTAAATCGCCCAATCTAATGGACGGCTATGAGGAGTTGCAATCCGGTAATTTGGTCAAATTGATGTTTTATTGATAGTAAGTGTACTTAGTTGATGCTTTTTTTAGTACAAGGGTTCAAGTGATCTATTGAATATAGTACGTGGGTGTATTTGACCCTTTTTCCTAATTCAAATAAAAACATCCTTACAATGGGTTGTCTTAGCCTTCCATGTATTTTACAATTCCCAATTATGATGTGGATGTTGCTTTACACACACAATATTACTTAATGCAATTATAACTTGACTAATTTGTCTCTTTTTAATTAGAAATAATTACATATATAAGACTAAAATAAAGATTGTTTACAAAAACGTGACTAATGACTGGATTAGTAATGAAATCATAGTAATTTATGTCTAATTTTTAAACTAAAATTACCATGACACTACATTGTACACCCTCCGTCCCATTTATATTGTCCCGCTTTACCTTTTCGGGAAATCCCACTTAAATTGTCTCATACCATATTTGGTAAAATTTGTGTGACTCAAAATCATTCTTACTTTATTTTTACTTTATCAATTAATATCAACCACACAAATCACTTTTCTTAAAACCCGTGTCACCCTCTTATGTCCCAATATAAAAGGAACGGAGGTAGTAGTAACTATAGTCATATCTGTGTAAATAAATTTTACTTTAGTAATAATTTTGAAAAAACCCCATAATTACCACTGTCCACTAATAAAAAAACACTCGGCTCCTTGCACATGCTTTAGAAACAACCAATTTTATGAAACAATTAATTTTAATCGGTTAACATAATCAACAAATCAAAACAATTAACACAAACCACCGACACAATCAACTAATACTTGGTGAACAAAGCCATTACATATTACCCATACATATTTGTTTTATATTTGGGAAGTACAACACTATGAAATCAACCAAACAAGGTGAATGAACAACTATTTGGAACTCCTTTGAGATGATTTATATATGCGGAATGCAGCAATGCACATTGTACCATTACCAATTACAGTCAAAGCTGCTTGAAGAGCCACCAGAATCTGATATGCATGGGAAGAGTGTAACCATTGATTAACTAACTTTATAAGGAAAGCCAAAAGGACTAGATGAGGTATACTATTCATCAAGGAAAGGTGGCAGCATAGTAAGAAGCAAACTATTGTTTACCAGAATTTAGAATGGTGAACTTCAAAGTTTCGTTAAAATTAAACATAATTAAACTGTAGTATATAGAACAAGATTGGGAGGGGGGCTGTTGCCACCACTGGTCCCCCCTTTGCTCTCTGGTGATAGAGCAGGGGGAGAAGTCACATTGAATCTGGATTTGGGTATGATGTTCAACAAGGAGGTTGCAAAAGGTCAATACAATCAACAAAGTTTCACCCTTCTACTGCCCCCCTGCCCAATATGAGTTTCTGTTTACCTCAAGAGATTCCGAGTTATAGAAGAAATGCCAAGTGCAGGCACAAAGTGCTCCACCCAGTAATGGCACCTGCGCAACAAATACACGCATGACCTCATTTAGAATATGCATGTCATAGGTTCATGAATAGTACACTCAAGAAACTTCAAATAATGCTAGCTACCAACTACTAAACAGATGTTGTTAGACTCCCACAATTAAGGTGAGGAAAATTGGTTTATGAGATCTCGCATTGGTTAACTATTATACTTAACTTTAAGCATTTTAAAGCTAAAAATGTAAGCAAGAGGGATGTGCTTAAGACTGATTTCCACTCTTTCTATTATACTATGTATTACTCTAATAACATTACTAACATATCATTGATTTTTTTTACAAAGTATTCCGACTTTCATCAATCACTTTTTATTTATTTTCAAACATTACCAATTTTAACTACTCCGTATTAAATACTACCGCGAATGTCTTAGGCTCTATCCTGAAAAGTTCTAAGTTCTAACCCACTTGACCACTTCGTCTGTTTGACTATCTGTTTGGAACATCAAAGCATCTTGTGATCCATTTTTGGCTGTGAGAGAGGTAACTGGTTTATAAAATTTTGGGATAATCTAGCTAAGCAATTGAATTTATGGTGAAGCCCAAGGGCATTATAGCCTCATTGAGTGACTTCAAGAGGCCTACTAAATCCTAAATCTATCAAATCTCTATAAACATCATGCAATACCATAAAAGGTACTTCCTTACACTCGTGCTACTGCCAACAATGGGCTATTTCAAACAGAATCTCTCATTATCTTGCTTTATGTTGATCGCAATTCACCGATCTCTACAAAAAATGAAAAAGAAACCAGAAAGAGGTGTACATTTCATCAAAATTCACTCATTATCATGACTTAATGTTAAATGCAATTGACCAATCTCTATAGTCTACAAAAACAAATGTAAGAACCAGAAAGAAGTACTACCTACAAATATAAGTTTTAGGTAACCTTATACATCATATTCCACATTTCCGCTAAGCTTCTGAAAACTTAAAAAATGCATATATCAACTATTTAAACAATGAGTAATCAAATCACATATATTTTAAAAACTCTAGACGTTCAAAACATCTTTGAATAATATACTGAAGCACAGGAAATTAGATGAGCATTACTGAAATGGTGCAATGACTTACCATACCCCATGACAGCCCTTTCCAAGATTCATATCCTGACCTCTCTCCATATTGCCAAACCAATGCCATTGCAGTGACCCTATTAAGTGTTAAATAAGGCAACAGATGAGCAGTTCGATATTTTAATTTAGAACAGAAACGAGACCAGAGGGACCCATATCTAGCATCGAAATTTACTTATACTCCATGCACTGGTATACTATACATCCGCATGTACAATGACAGCCGTATATTCAACATACACACATGTGATGTCTTTAAAAGGACAATGAGCAAGCACCCTATGCAAATGAACAATCTGTAAAAGAAAAGCACCCGATGTACGCGCTAATTTCATGATCAAGATTGAAAAATGCATGAACACAGTGAGACAAAAGGAAACGAACATTGAAAATGAGCTAAAGATATCACAAAAATAACATAGCCACGCAGGTGTATGGCTGCCGGATGTATGATATAATTTGTGATGGTTCATCGAATTTATCTGACACAATTTAACTGATCAGGAAAGTTCAAATTGAAAAGCAACATGTTAGGGCAAATTATACCATACATCCAGATGTAATTTTGCATCCACTTGTTTTTGTATTATTCTTTATAGCTACTGATTTTGTGAAAGAAGAGTATTCATTACTTCGTGTTCTTGTTTTCAACACTCATTTTGATCCCTTCATTTTAGAGGACAAGAATGCTTAAGTTAATCACTAAAACGTAGAAATTCTGGTGACTGAAGATCTAATTTTTAGGCTTGGAGACGAACATAAATAATTCCAGGTGAAGAAGAATGAAAGAAACGTTACCATTCGATGACACTGGAGACATGAACAGCCCAGGTGGGTAGAGAAAGAGCATTGGAAGGTTCAGAAAATTGCATAGCTGATGAGCCCATTGCAGCTAGTTCAGAAGCAGAAACAGGCCCGGAAATGGAGACTAAAGCCAGACCAGCGACCCCCAGAACCGTAGCCATTGTTCGCCCGGTATAGAAAATGCAGGGTATTGGGTGCAACAAAGCAGAAAGAAATTTTGGGGATTTTGTAGCTGAGGGAAGTTGCATTTGCTTGGGATTAGGAAAAGGAAGGATCTTTGAAGGAGAGAATAAGGACGGAACTACCATTTTAGTGTTCTTCTATGTCTTGAAAGCTAGTTGCTGAAGATATCAAAGCTAGTTGATGTACACTGTAATAGCCAAAATGATGTATACCTATCATAAAAGTAACTTAAGACCCGTTTGGTTTTAAGGGTATGTTTGGTTCATGGTTATAGGGTAAAACATGTGGAGTCATTTAAAAAATCTCAACTTTTAAATTATCTGTGGAATTGATATGAGCTGAACCAAACCTTCACGATTTGATTTTAGTCATTCTTTTATTTCCTAAATTTTTAAAAAAACTTCTACAAATCACTACGTACGTACTAAGTTTGTGTCACATAAAGACATTCAACGCTTGAAATTATAAGAAATACAAATACGTTAAGTTTGTGGTTTGATTGAACAAGGAGGGAGTACAAGAAAACATACACAAACTTGAAAAATAGAGAAAGACATTACTTGATTTTGAAGATGGAGAGCTGTGCGGGACGTTCCTCAAAAGAAGAGAGCTGCGGTCATGTGTTTCAAGCAGGAAGAGAGCCGCGTAATGAAGCGTAGGTTTTTTTTGGGAAAAAATTATGAAGTAACCGGGATCTTATAAAACCTAAGCATGTGGTGGGTTTCACATAACGGGTCATCTGATTACCTTTTGTACTTTTGGGCATCTAACATTCCCAAAAAAAAAATCAAACCCACGAACCAAACACAGATATCTCACATTCCGGACATCAGATTCCGCCTTATATGTGAAATTACCTTCAACCAAACACTGCCTAAAGGTTATCGTCATTTCAAACCTCAAAAATTAAGTTTCAAACATAAGTACATACTAAGCTAAATTAAATTTTTAGAGAAAACAAAAGATGACATTCACCACATGAGAAATCAGTTAAATACTTATCACTTTATCAACACTATTAACTAAACTAAATCACTACGTGAATTTAATATCTAAATGAATATTAAAATATATATACTAATAAGTAGTAATAGATAGAAACTTAATTATCATATAAGGGTTCCTGAACAACTACACATACATATTTTTTTATCAAAATTGAGTACCAAACAGTTAATAAAAAGTAGCTTAGGAACCAAACCGTTAATAAATGACCTCTTAATGTTGGAATCGAACCGAACTAGGTCATAATGGTACGGTCCGGTTCGGGTTGCCACTTTCCTGTTCTTGATTACATGCTGTCTTCATTCATCTTTGCTATCTAAATTTCATTTAAAAGTTTTTAACATAAGAATGCCTACTCGGATGTACCAAAAAGAGAATAACATAAGAATGTGAGAAATTGTATTAAGTTAAGATCATAATTAAATATAGAAAAGTTCATATTTTCAATTTTTCACACCCAAGTCCAAGTAAACATATGTACAACTAGCATATTACAATTTGTTCTTTTTCTTTCATTCTTCCTTTAGTAGCAAACACATGACACTAAAATGTGATTGTCTAATGGTCATAGAGGCTCAATCAAATGCTTCAGCTTGTATTGGTGTTGTGGTTCCAACTTCTGCTCGGGCAACAGAGAAGCTAGGAAAGGTGGAAATGTGTGTCCTTAATTCAATGAAAAACATCCATTATCCTCGTTTACAAGTTCATATGCATGCTATCCATTCACATCATCACATCTACCTAAGTTTCTCTAAGTTTTCGTATTATTAAAAAAGTCACATTTAAAATATATTTTATTTACAAAATATAGAAACATTTATATGAAAAATAGCTCAGGATTGTCATTTACAGTAAGTAAAATAACTTTGATCTTACTTATTTGATTATTTTGCAACTTAGAGCCCGTTTGGTAGAAGGAAAATCGGCTGGTTTGGCTGATTCTGCTGAAATTTCTAAAGTTTTGGCTGAAGTGGCTGCATTGGCTGATTATGCTGATTTATGAAAAAAAATATTTTTAAAATATATTTTATTAATAAAATAAAGAAAAAATTATATGTAAAAATAGCTAAAATGGTCATCTACAGTAACTTCAGTCAATATAGCCAGAAAAGTAACTCCAACCTTACTTTTTCTGCTTATTACACAATTCAGCGAGCTAAAGCAAAAATTACGTGTCTGGTGGAAAAGTTGGCTAATAAGCCTGATAAGCCGAAAAGGGGTGTTACCAAACGACACCTTAATGCGTGAAATCAAAAGTTACATGTTTAGTTAAAAGTTGGTTAATAATTGCTAATAAGTCGAATAACATGATCACCAAACGAGTTCTAAAATTTAACTCTAACTCATTTATGTCTTACTTTTCCATCTTCAGTTTTGTATGACATCCGCTAGTAGACTTGTTCTAACCCTTATACGTAGTATATGTGTATATCTCTCTCCCCACTTTTTCATTTTTCGTTTTATCTATATTCAATTCTTTTAAATTAGAAGCATTAGTTCAACTGTCCTCTAAGGTGAACGTGCAAAATATACCACATATATTGGTTAAATAAATGCGCAGAATCAATTTTAGAAATTGAAAAGATAAAACTGCAAAATAAACGAGTGGAAAAAGGTTCTTAATCTAGATTTTGGGTAATAAAAAGAATTGTGGTTCTCTACACAAAACAGATTGAAACATAAATCGGATGTGTTCTCCATTTCCAATCACAAAACCCGGAAATCAACAATTATCGAATTGGCATTGGAATCCAATTAGTCTTTTCCAATCCTAATTAGGAGATTTAATTTAATTGTTATATGTAAATCAACTTTAATGTGATTAATGAAACATGAAATATCCATCTGAAACTTATAAAGTCACGGGGTTTCCTATAATTGTAAGAATCGAAATGTTGAATCCCACCCATAGTTCCTTTCCAGCTAGACCCGAAGCAATTTCCCATTCTACTTCTATTTTTAGGACTCAGACTCGAGAGGAACATGACACACCTAATACTACTATCTTTCTGTGCATGTAATAATTGCCAGCTAACCTAAGAGAAGCTCTTCTTTCTCTTACCAAGCCCACTTTCTTGAACTCTTCAAATGTTTTCTGAAAATTCTGAACAGAAAGGAGTGTTAAATTCAGGGTTCTTAAATTTTGAGTATTTTGGACACACTCATATAAAGAGCAAGCCAAATATCCCTAGTTCATTGTACCCTAGGCCAAAATTTGGTGAAGGCTCATTAATGCACTTAACTTAATCTCGACCTTTTTCATCTATTAGTATATATATCAATTTCATGACTGTTGAAAAATGTCCATTACTAGTCAAGGTCTAGATCTTGTATTTCTTTATTCTTTACAACTGAGCATTATTTGTTTCAAGAGCAGTAGTCTATAAGACTATAACTCTAAGTGGTAAAAGATGAGATCAAAGGGTTTCAAGATTTGATCCAGGGAAATATAATGCTGGGGTGGCTTTGCTGGAAGCATGAAAAGAATAGGTACATATGTTTATTGCCTTGTTCTTTTCTTTACCTTTTGCTTCTTTGAGTTTGAAATTGTGTTTACAACTACTGAAAAAGAGATCTTGCTTCAATTCAAGGGAAACATTTCCACTGACCCATTCAGTAGTTTGACTTCATGGGATCCTGGTAAAGACCCTTGCCAAGATTACAGTGGTGTGTTCTGTAATTCAGATGGAAATGTAGTAAAGATTCTGTTGTATAATACTGGGCTTGTGGGAGTGCTTTCTCCTGCTTTGTCAGAGTTGAAATCCTTGCGCAGTCTTACATTGTTTGGGAATGGATTTACTGGAATTATTCCCAGGGATTATGGCAAAATTGAATCTTTACGGAAGATTAATTTGAGCTCAAATGCTTTATCTGGCTCAATCCCAGAATTTCTTGGGGATCTACCAAATTTACGTTTTCTTGATCTGTCCAGAAATGAGTTCTCAGGGAAGATTCCTTCTGGAATGTTCAACAGTTGTAGAAAAGCACGGTTCATCTCGCTTTCAAATAACCACCTTTCTGGTCCGATTCCTGCAGCAGTTGGGAACTGCCAGAGTTTGGAAGGGCTGGATTTATCTTTTAACAGGATTACTGGTATTTTACCTTCACAAGTTTGTGGTATACCTGGAATGGTATACTTGTCTTTGAGAAGCAACCTGCTCGATGGAAGTGTTCAAGAACAGTTCTCCTCCTGTCAAAGGTTAGAGCTTTTGGATCTTGGAAACAACAATTTTACTGAATCAGCCCCTTTTGAGGTCCTTTCTTTGGCGAACCTTACATATTTCAATATTTCAAGTAACCAGTTTCAGGGTGGGATTCAGAATATTGAAGTATGTAGTCAAAGGTTAGAGGTTCTGGATCTTTCAGGGAATGACTTTAGTGGAGAAATTCCGCCAAATATTGCAAAATGCAGTTCACTGAAGTATATGGACTTGGGATATAATAGGCTTACTGGAACTATACCAGTTGAGATTGCAGATCTTGAAAACCTTGTGCTTATTCGCTTGGCGAGTAATTCTATTACAGGCACAATCCCTTCCTCGTTAGGAAGTATAGAGTGGCTTGAAGTTCTGGATTTGAGTAATCTCCACCTTGGTGGTGAAATCCCTGACCAGATATGCAACTTCAGGTTTCTTCTTGAGATGTGAGTTTAACCACCATCCCTAATTGCTCTCTTGTTTATATATAAAATTTGAGTTTTGTGCACTTTTAGCCCATATACTATTGTGTCATGTTTTTGGTATCCGTCTTGAATTATTCCACTTCTAGTCATCTAAGTATTGTCACATACACTTTGATACTCGTATTTGGATTTTTCCACTTTTAATCCTTCGGCTACTGTGACTAACACTTTTAGTCATCCAATATTGCCAGTGACAATTTTGGTACACTTTTTTGACGTTACAGTAGTTAGAGGACCAAAAATGTGTTTGCCGCAATATTTAGAGAAGTAAAAGTGAAAAACTTCATAGAAGGGTGCTCAAAGTATCTTTGACATAATAGTTAGAAATGAAAAAAATGAAAGTATTGAAATGCTTCCAAAAGTATCTTTGTCACAATGGTCAGATGACTAAAAAATGGAAAATGCTCTATATAAATAAATATCATTTTTTGAATTAAACTTAATTTTTTGCTGCAGGGATATCTCAGAGAACCTCATAAAGGGGAAGATTCCACAAAAGCTATACAACATGTCATAC